ATTGTTATCCTTTCGGGTAGCATCCAATGATTCATCCTCATCGGACAGAGAGATAGCTCTGGCCCTTCTGCGAAGCTTTCCTTTCCTCTTCACAATAGGCGTTTCTTGAATATCATCACCAATCATTTCAGTAGATTGTGATCCCATCTTAAATGTGCCTGCGGTCGAAGGTGGATCCATAAATCGAGATTTAATGGGTGTTATCATCGAGAATCCTTCGTCCTGTGTATTGGGAAATTCGGAGGCTTGAGTCGATAACGGGTTCTCGACCAAACTTTCGAAATCATGGATTTGCGATTGTGAGAATGAAACCTGGATTCCCTGGGTTTCATTGTCTGCTGGTTGTGATTCTGGTATTTGTGTTTGACTATCCATTACCATGTCTTGTGTTTCTTCGTCAATCATGGTGGGAATAAAATCGGGCAGCTCAGGCATAGCTCTTCGGCGAAGGAAATCCATGGAGTGTTCCTTTACGTTTGAGGCTTGTGACTCTGGATTTGATGATTCAAATATATCTTGACTATCATCCATTGTACCCTGGAATATCTGTGTAAGACCGAGTCCAGCGGGGCCCGTTATGGGTAAACCAGGTATGAATGTTTTGGTTGCTGAACGAAGAACTGAAGTTGGAATTACCGGTGAGTCTGTTCGCGGCTGCGACAAAGATAGAGTTCTGGGAGCTTTGGGTGTCTTTGTGAGAAGATCCTCTTCTTCCTCGTCATCGGAGATAATGTTCGTGACTCTCGATTTTTTGGACCGCCGATGGACAGGTAAAGTTTCTTCTTCGTCCTCGGCATCCATGGGGTTAAGTGGATCTTCTGGAATAGAAAGATCAATTTCAGATTCTCCATCTTCCTCTGCCTCATTGTCGAATAAGGGATTTGGTACGGGGTTGTCAGTTGCCTCTTCTTCCTCAATTTCCTCATCCTCATCCTCGTCTTCACCACTTTCTTCATTCTCGGAGTCCTCATGCTCGTTGTCTTCTGAGCCGGAAACCTCTTCCTCTTCTGGTATTTCTTTCGTCTCTTGCCAATCTTCATCGTCGCTGCTGTCGTCCAATGGGTCTACTTCACCATTGGCTTTTCGCTCTCTCTTAGCAGCTGCCTTTTCCCTTGCCTGTATCTCTTCTCCTTCACGGCGAGCCTTAGCGAGTAAGTCATCAACCTCTGCCATTTCCTTTTCTCGCTCCTCGGCAGTCTGTACAATGATTCCTCGATCTCTAAGGGCCTGGAGTCGCTCCTCTCTTTCTCGGTGTGCTTGTTGCCTTGCCTTCAATTGAAGACTTATTTGTAGATCTTGGGCTGTAATCGATGGCTTTTGATTTCTTCCGGAATTTTGCTTTCCAGGCGATCCGAGGTGTGCAAGCATTCGCAAAGCCATCATCGAATGAGGTTCCTTGGCTTGTTTTTCCGGAATTCGCTTGAATATCGCATCTAATTTTGCATTGCGAGCAGATTTCTTTGGTTTCACAATCTCGAGATCACTATCCGAATCAAGCTCCAAGTCACCAGTACTGACTTTCGCTGGCCGTATCTGAATTGGTCGCTGCTTGAAGACAGGCTTCTTCTCAGATAAACCTTCGGTCATATCTGCATCGACAGCCTTTCCTTTGCCCTTGTCTCTCCTGGAAGGTGGTGACGATTTCAGAGCTTCCTCGAGAGTAGGCAAGTCCTCTTCATCTACCACATCCATGGCTGTGCTTGTTACCAGAGAAGTTAAGGCGGGCTCTTGTTTATCATTAGTGTCCATATCATCTGGTGGAGATGTGGGCGGCGTTTCTTGCATCTCAATGTCTGATTGAGGTGCGGGCGGAGGACTTGAACTTGCGGGTCTTGCGGGGTCAGAAGAAACAGTATTAGTCTCCTCAGTTTGTCTGTAACCAAACCTGGCAAACAAGCTCTGTTTCGTGATCTTCTTCTTGTTTTTAGCTTTGTGAGCCAATTGCATATTCCTCGACAATCGCTGAGTCTCTCTGTGCATCTCCTCGATAGCTCTCTTGCTCGCCTTTCGAGTAGGACGATTTTGCTGTGTAAGTCGTTGTCCTCCTTCATCCTCGCTGTCAATCTGATTGTCGTCTTCAATCAATGCGGCCTGTCGTCTCCTTTCTTCAGCTTTCGCAGCCTTCTTCTTTCTATCCTCCGCCTCTCTTGCGTAACGTTCTTGGCGTTTCCTGGCAACCAGATCCTGGAAAGTCTTGTTTGATTTTGATATCGAGTCCAGTTGAAGGTCATCTGGATCGGAATTATCGGCCTGCGGCGTGGCCGATCTGCCAGCACTGGGTGTAACGAAAAGTCCAGGAGAAGCGGATTCTTGTCGAGGGGTTGACTTGACGGGGGTCTGGCGAGGTGAACTTCCTGTCTTACGTCTCCGCAAAACCACTGGTATATCACTTTCATCGGCATGACTTTCATCATCTACTATTTTCGGTGACTCCGGCCTTGGTTTGTTCTTCATGAGCCTCCTGACTCTTTCCCTCGGATTATTCGCCATGAGCTGATCGTCGTCTGATCCGTCCAATGCAGCTTGCATACGCGCAGCCATTCGACCCCTTGGCCTTGCTATTTCTTCTTCGTCTGAAGAGGACTGGCTCCCGACATCGATTGAACCTTTCGTTCTGCCCAGTGCCGTTGACTGAGAGTTTGCATTGAATATATCCGACTTTGGCTTTCGTGAGGCGATTCTTTTCCTTGCATTTCCAGAGACACTCTCCTCATCAGAGTCACTTATTCCTGCAGCCGCCAAAACAGCTCTGATTTTTGATTTGGGTGTCAACTCCATTGGAGAAGTAGACGCTCCAGGCGAAGATTCTCGTGATGAAGCCATTGTAATTAATTATAATATATTTATGACTGAGAAAAATTAACACAATCGTATGTAAGGTTGAGCGTAATCATAAAATAAGAATCATCGAATCATTGTTTGTAGTTGTATAATAGTTAAACGTAAGTGCAAGGAGAAGAAGTGTTTAAGAGTTGGAGAGTTTTGTGCTATGATATTAGAAACGCGTTCCAAAAAGACGTGTACGCGACTAGCAAGCATAAAGTTTAAGTGCGCGTGGAAGTGTGGCTGAAAAATCACGACCCACCTGGGCACCCTCGAGCCACCTTGATAACCGCACCTGCCCCACGTATGATGGATGGATGATGGATCCGACTTGTCACTTCTAATTCCGATCAGATCAGTTCCTCATGACCATGTAGAAATTCGTAAGCCCGAGATATCGAAGATATCGTGAACTGTCTCCAGTTTTTATATATTGATTTGGTTTTCCCTTTTTTCTTGTTTGACAAAGATTTGTTTGACACCTGCCATATATACGGGGTAGTTGTATTTCTAGATGAAATACTGAAAGAGAATCAACATAAAGGCATCACGAAGCCATCAATTTCCCCCTCACTGCAAGTCTGCATCCCATATATCTGATTTGATATTGACCTACAACAAAATATGACAACTACATATCTCCAGCGGTTGAGAGCTAGATCTCAGAACAATGTGGCCGCGCTAAGAGATTCTCCTTTAGCGGAGATTTCAGGTGCCTTTGGTGATCTAGGAACTCTATTACCACTGATGATTGCTTTGGCGATTAATAATTCAATATCTCTCTCAACAACTCTATTTTTCTCAGGCATGTGGAATATATTGACAGGTGTTGCTTTTGGTATACCTCTACCAGTACAGCCTATGAAGGTAATTTCTCTTGTAACTAGCCATATTCCTAGCTAACCATTCTCTAGGCTATTGCTGCTGTAGCCATCTCAAGGAACTTTTCGATTGAAGAAACGGCTTCTGCTGGTTATACTGTAGCCGGCGTGGTGTTAATCTTAAGCGCTACAGGACTTCTTCGATGGTTCACACGTATGATACCTACACCCGTCGTCAAAGGCAAGTCTTTTTGCCGAAGCAATGTCTAATTCAATAAAGTTTCTGTATTAAGTATGTTTTCAGGTATTCAAGTGGGAGCCGGCTTGTCTCTGATCTTATCCGCTGGCTCAAGTCTTCTTCAACCTTTGGGTTGGACGACTCCAAATGCTGCCGACAACTTGATATGGGCACTTTTCGCCTTCATCGCTTTGCTAATTACGCAGAGGCTTCCAAAACTGCCATATGCTCTAGGTATTTTCGTTCTTGGACTTGTGTTATCATTGTATATCACGGGATTTAGTTACCTACCTTCATTTAGATTATGGCACCCTCAAATATATGTTCCGTCCGCAACTTCGTTCAAAGTCGGGGCGCTCGACGCTGGGCTAGGACAAATTCCCCTCACAACCTTGAACTCCATTATTGCTGTCAATTTTTTGGCATCTGATCTCTTGCCAAACATTCCAGCCCCAGGCGTTACTTCGATTGGTGTCAGTGTCGCACTAATGAATCTAATTGGTGGCTGGTTTGGTGCTATGCCTGTTTGCCATGGTTCAGGAGGACTCGCTGCCCAGTATAGATTCGGAGCCAGAAGTGGTGCAAGTATAATCATCCTTGGTGCCTTTAAGATGATCTTGGGATTGTTTTTCGGTGAGACGCTTGTGGGCCTACTAAGACAATATCCAAAGAGTTTGCTTGGAATCATGGTCGTAGCAGCTGGTCTAGAATTGGCAAAGGTAGGAGAAAGTCTTAATTACGGAGCTCGAGACCTGTGGGATATATCAGAATCGAGTGTTGGATCAGATTCTGCTCAACCACAAACGATAAAACGCCATAGACAACTTTCAGACGAGGAAAGGAAGGAAAGGTGGACAGTAATGTTCATGACCATTGGGTTTCTGCTCGCGTTCAAGAATGACGGGGTTGGGTTTTTAGCTGGTATGCTGTGTCATGGGTTCAATCAATCTTCTAGGTTATGGAATGCTTGGGAAGGGTGGAGAACGAGATACAGTGAGAGAAAGATTAGGAGTGCTGCGAATAGTCCCGGAGGTGAAGAAGAACAGTTGCTCTCCAGTGCTTAAGCATGAGACGGGGCTCAAATTCAATGATATTCACGAGCATATGAATGAACGAAAATGCGTTGTTGTAAAACTGTATTTATAATCTGATGGCGCTACCGCCAAATTCTCTGATCACTAGTAATCTTTATTCAGTACTTCAATGGCATTTTCAAGAGATCTTTGATAATCTTATATAATACAGCTCGGTGTGATTTATACATCAAAATTACCATGAATAGTACTGTCGTTGGGCAGTCACAGGTCTATTTGGTAATTGAACCCAGACCTTCTTGTTCTTTAGCTTCTCCTCTCGTTCTTCATGCAGTCTAATACGAGTTTTCTCTTCCTTCAACACGAGTGAAATACCTAAAATATGTTAGCCCTGACAATACTTCTACAAATGATGCTCAACTTACTCGTTGTCCTGTTCTTCATAATGTTAACATTTCCTCTCGCTCTGAAATCATAACTTCTAGTCCAATCTCCTTTTCCACACCAAGCTTCATCAACATATAATGTAGTTGGATCCTCCACTTTGACCCTCTTTCCATCCTTTGTGACGATGTATCGCGTCTTGAAATTTTCAGTAGATTTTCTTTCAACCTTTCCTAATCCCATGCCCCTCTTTAAGATGGCCTCGTTCCTCGCATGCTCTAGATGTTCTTTGACATCCTTGGCAACCTTCTTCTTCGAGAATCTCATCTGAATGATCGCATCTTCCACTGTCTTGCCCGCAATTTGCTTGGCCAAAGGAACCAATTTCTTCACTGAAGTCTTGAAATCATGACTCTTGGACAACAACACCCTTTCCGTTCTCTTCAATGTTTGTTCCTTCGTCAAACGTCCTCGTTTTTTAACATCCTGGATGACCATCTTCCTTTTCCATCGAAGTGTAGCATTGGGGTTTGGATCGAGCGCTCTGGCCATTATTTCAGGGTTTCTGGGTATGACTTGGTTTTCCTCGTCTCCTTTACCTCTTGAATCTTCATCTTCAAAGATGGACGATTTTGCGAGATCTCCCCGCTCGGCCTGTTGTCGTTGCGCATCAGATTTTTTCTTGAGGTATTCTTCTGTCAAAGGATTCTTAGGGGCTTTATCCGGCGAGAACATCCTCCTTGCACTGTCAAGACGCTTTGAGAAATTGTCCCATAGTGATCTTCGTTGATTGGTGTATAATGGGATAAGGAAGGCGATGGGTGGATGGGATGTTGTAAGAGGTGCAGCTGTGGGCTGATCAGCATTGATCATATATATACATAGCCATATACTTACTAGACCTTAGCAGGCGCCGCGAAGGAAGATTCAAACTCATAGTGTGGACTGGGTGGTGTTGCTTGTCAATGGCTCGGGCGTCATATCAAAATAATTGAAGTTCTTAGTTTGCCAAATTTATGTGGCTGCTTTAAGAATCACGCTACAGTCAGGATTCAAGATTTTTTTGGTTCATGCTTATAAGAGCTATCTCGGTCAGAAACTTTCCAAGTTTCAATTAATTTACAGGTAGACCTTCCAAATGATTGGAGGTTTGATCAATTTAATTACATGAATTTTCTGTTATTCATTCGGAACGTTGAATGTAAATGGCGATCTCATGTCCCGCTGTCGTATTCCGAAATTATTAAGCGGCGGCAAAGGTCCGGTGGGATTGAAATGTTCGAGATGGATCGTACTTCACAGGATCAACGCCTACTTTTGTTGTCAATACACAACCCTATTTATTGATCACCTTCCAACAACAAAATCTCAAGAAGATTCTCGAAATGCTTCTTGGGCTTCCTCCCGATATTGATACGAGATTTCCAAAGTGAAGTAGTTGGAGAAAACTTTGTTTACAATGGAACAATCACCTGTTGGTGAAGAGGAGTGGTTAGCACTCGTAGATGAGGCTAGCAGAAACGCGAGAGATCTGGAGCAGCGCATCAAAGTTGTCGAATTATACGATCGCGCAATAAGCGCAGAACCTTGGAGCAACCCGCTTTGGTTAGCAAGATGCGACTGGGTCTTGTCATTATACACAGATTGTCGGGATCCAGATGCAGGATGGCCAGAAGATGAGCGACTCGCCGGACAGGAACTATTCTCGTTACAAACAGCGCAGGATCTTTGGCAGGAAGGCACCGCAGCTACGCAATTTCGTTTGAACGACAGCCATGAGCTATGGAATAGGTGGATAACTATTGAACTGGAATTGCTTGCGAAGTCTCCTACTCGTGAGCAAGTAGAGCGCGTCCGCAAAATATTCTTCGATCGCCTACAAATACCACATGCTAAATGGGACGAGACTTCTCAAATGTTCTCGACGTTTCTCACGAAGTATGACGAGCCCTCTTATGAATCGACGATGGTGCAAGTTACACAGATGGGTAGCACTGCAAGATATTTGTATGAGCAACGTGAACAGCACGAGCTCAAGCTTCAGCAAGCTGTTACGGCTGGTGATAAAGAACACATAGCATCTGTAATGAAGGAATATCTGGAATGGGAGACTTTTCAAACAGTGACAAAGCCCAAAAAAGGTTTACCACAGAGCCCGCAAATTCTCGCAATTGCCCTCTACGAGCGCGCATTAGCTTCCACAATTTTGGGCCGGGATCCTGGAACTTGGGAAGATTACATTGCTTTCGTTCAACAGAGCTACGTTGTAAATCCAGATGCGCAGTTAGGCAGCCCCCTTTACATTGTTCAGCGAGCTACCGCACATTGCCCTTGGTCGGGAAGCTTATGGGCGCGCTACATCCTTCTTGCTGAAACGCAAAACTTGGATTTTTCTTCGATTGAAGATATAAAGCATGCTGCGACGAGTACTGGCGTATTGGATCGTGACGGGACAATGGACGAAGTGATTGAGGTCTACACAGCTTGGTGTGGCTATCTCAGGCGTAATACGATCGATAAACCTTTAGAAGACGAAGCTTTTGATGTGGCAGACGCCGGTCTGCCTGGTTCACTCGAGGCCGTTCAAGACTGGGGTCGAAGGCTCTACAAAAGAGAATACACGGATCCTTCGTTCAAAATCGAAAGGATAATGATTCAGTACCTCACTCAGAAAGGATCAATTGAGGAAGCTCGTGAGTTTTGGAAAAGACTCGTGAATACTCATCAGAAAAGTTATGTTTTTTGGCAACAGTATTACTCATGGGAAATGACAGTCCGATATCTTAATAAATCATCCAACTTACCCTCTATGGTCTTGTCTCGAGCTTTACGTACGAAAGATCTAGACTGGCCGGAAGCGATCATGGAACTTTACATTTCACATTGCAATAATTATGAAGATGCACATACTTTATTAGGAGCAAAAGATCTAGTCCGCAGGCAATTTCAACTAGTTACCAAGCGCAGGGAAAAGTTAGCCATTGAGCAAGCAGAATTATATGCTCAGCAACAGCAACAAATCGTTAGCCCGGAAGCGACAGATGAAGATTCTCCTGGAAATTCAAAGAGGAAGCGTGAGCCAACCTCAGAAGATACCACTGATAGTAATACCCACAAGAAGATAAAAAATGAGCAATCGACAGCTGATGCAGAGGCTTTACGACAACAGCATTTGACAAGGGATCGCGAGAATACTACCGTAATAGTCACCAATCTACCTCACGAGGTCACCCAAACCAAAGTGAGACAGTACTTCAAAGAATATGGTCACATCAATAGCTTGACGCTCAAGACCGAAGCGGACAAGCTTTCCTCTACCTGTTTGATCGAATTCCGTTCCAATGACGACGTCCAATCGGCTTTCCTCCGTGATGGAAAATTCTTTGGTGAGAATCAAATCAAAGTAGAGTCTGGTACTGGTTTGACTCTTTATGTCACTAATTATCCACCTACTGCTGATGAAAATTATATGCATACCCTTTTCAAGGATTGTGGTGAAATATTCAGTATCCGATGGCCAAGTCTCAAATTCAACACACATCGTCGATTTTGCTACATTACCTTTCGTAAAGCTGAAGCTGCTTCGGCAGCCACTCAGCTCGATGGAAAGTTGTTAGAAAACAAATTCAAACTCGTAGCAAAATATTCCGACCCAGCTGCAAAAAAGCAACGAGAGGGTGCCACCGCAGAAGGTCGAGAGCTACACATAACTAGTCTCGATTCGAGCTTGAAAGAGGATGATTTGAAGCAGGTCTTTGGAAAGTATGGCAAGGTTGAATCTGTCAGAATCTTGAGAACATTCAAAGGGGAGAGCAAGGGTGCAGGATTCATCGTTTTTGAGAAAAAGGACGAAGCTACTGCCGCACTTGAATTGGATAAAACCAAGCTGAAATCCTCCATTCTTCATGTCGAATTGACGCAAGCAAGAAACTACAAACCTATCGCAACTAGTAGAGAAAAGGGGGCTTCAGCATCTCCAGCTCCAGACGATGATGGAGATACTATGATGTCTCCTGCTTCTACTACTGACAATCCTCACAAGAATCAACATGCTTTACATCAACCATCAGAAGGTGGCAATCGAACGATTACCTTGCTCAATGTCCCTGATACGGTGAATGATGCAAGAATCCGTGCAATTGCAGAGCCATTTGGAAATATCATCAAAGTTGTACTTCGTCCAGACCATCAAGGTGCAATCGTCGAGTTCGAGGATGTTAATTCTGCAGGTAAAGCATCTCTCGGTCTTGAAAATCACGAGATAGCACCAGGTCGCAGATTGAGAACAGGAGGAATGAAAGATCTTTTCGCACAGTCGAGTGAGGTTAAAAGTGATCGCATTGTGGTTGGACAAAATGGTAAGAAGGAAAAGGAGAAAGCGGGTGCGAGTACAGGGACAGGAGCAGGGACAAGCACGAGTAATTTCATGCAACCCAGTGTACCGATCAGAAGACCAGGTGGGGGAAGGGGTGGATTGGGACAAAAAAGAGGATTGGGATTCTCGGGCGGGAAAAAGCCAGCGCCAGTGCCGGCACCAGATACGGGTTCGGATACTAATGCAAAACCAAAAAGTAATGCGGATTTCAAGAAAATGTTTTTGAGTGGTGGAAAGGAATGAATGGGATGGGATGGGATGATAATTAATTGATTGCAGTGTTGCTACGTAATAAGAATAGGGTAGCTAGGGTTAGGTAGAGAGCACATAGTAAATCAGATGTTAATATCTTTTCTTTGCTAAATTTGTCTGTCGTCCCGTTGTGAATGATAGTTGATTGCCATGTGTACGAAGTAGAAAATCGTCATGAGATTCAATGAGCTTAAGTATGTATATATATGAAAGTAGCGTTGTACATAACCGTCCTATTAACGTGTATTTTCATAGTATCATGTCACAATAACTTTCCTTCTCATATAATAGATAATAGAATATTAAGATATTAATAATTATCCCCCCTCCCCCCCCCCCCTCAAAAAAAAAGCAAAAAGTTATGACAGCTATCTCGTCTGATCAACGGGAGAGAATATTATATTAATATAATATTATAATAAATACCTACTAACTTTATAACTTTAATATTATGTATTTTAAAAATTTCGATAATATATTGAAATACTCTGACAGATTATTCTAGTACATATCGATAAGTATGGAATATGAGGAGAAGAGATGAGAGTGAGTTGAGAGTTTTGAGATGTTGTTAGTAAGGGCTATCTATGTATATAAATAGGTACTTATAGATTAATAGGTACCTAGTATATAAGTATAGTATATTCTGTTATTGTAATCTTACTTTTCATGGTGAGAAACATTTGAAAAAAGGGGGGGGATCAAATGTATCAAATATACCTAGGTAGGTTATCAAATCTGCATTATTTTCCGACAACGAATGATCCATCGTATCGTATCCTATCCTATCCTATGAAACCTATATAAATGACTATTCAATCACAATCCTAGCCTATCCTATTCCATAAAAAGAAAAAGAAAGCCTACTTCACTTCACTTTGCTCCTCTTTTCTTCTCTCCTCTCCTCTCCTCTCCTCCCCTAATGAAACTGATCCTCCGTGACTCCCTTCCCCATCGCGCTCGTACTACTCACTCCGCCAGTCACCATCTTCAACAACTCATCTGCATAATTCGCTCCGGACCATTTCTGATGCTTCACCACATCCACACCCAGATCCATTTCCGGTTCTTGCACCAACTCCCCATAGGCGCGCATGCCCTGTTTACTATACGCCTCGGCAAAGCGATGACTAATCAACGCCGTGGTGTGTAAACCGGCTAGTGTGATGAATTGCCAACAATATCCTAGTTTGGAAAGTCGCTGAATGTATGTTTCCTGTTCTGCTCTGGGCATGGCCGATTTCCAATTAAAGGACGGAGAGAGATTGTATGCGAGTTTCTGGTCGGGATACACGGCGTGCACGCCCGACGCGAATTCCTCGGCTTGTTTGTAGTCTGGGAGTTTGGATTCCATCCAGATGGCGTCGGCGTAGGGGGCATACGCGATAGCGCGATTTATGGCACACCCGCATCCGCCTTGGAGTCGATAGTAGCCTTCTCGTGTACGAGGAGCGTCCCAATCCCAGTGGATGTCGATGCCGGTGATGGTTTTGGCAAGGGCTCTAGCTTCAGAATTGCTTTTGCCCTTGACTTCGGTGAGGAAGCGGGAAACGAGATCGTCGGATTTGGTGTTGGGGTTGGCTTTTATGGTGGCGATGACGGCGTCATTGAAGAGTTTGAGATCGGCTTGAGCAGTCCATGTATCTTCAATGGCTTGGAGTTCTGCACCAGTTTTTCCGGCACGCTCACCAGCTATCATTAGATCGTTAAGGGGTTGGAGATTGGGGTTTGTGGAGCCGAGAATGTAAGCGTGATCTCGGGGATCGATGGTTGTGGTAATTAAAGTAGCAGCTTCGGCGTCTGTACGGGCAATAGCGAGGAGATCAGAGCCTGCGTGGTATGTTAGTTTGTATTCTTCATCTTTTCAAACAAAAGTATAGATTTTGACATACCCATAATATCAGCCTGAGCACGGATAGCAACCAAACGATTGATATGTTCACTGATAGGAACGAGGACCTTTCCAGCCATATGTCCACATTTCTTGGTACCAGGAGCTTGATCCTCAATGTGAATACCCGCAGCTCCCTTCTCTATGAACAATTTTGTTAATTTCATAACGGCGGTGAGACCACCATGACCAGTATCAGCATCTGCGATGATGGGACGAAGATAATCGACGTTTTGGAGCTTGGCTCGATCGGCTTTCGAGGCAGTCATTACTCGTTCTTCACGTTGTTTACGGTCATGGAAGAGTTGGGCCATGAAGAGATGTGATACTTTGTTGGGTACTGTAGTCTAGAATATGTTAGTGAATTGGAGGCAAGAGAGGAAGGAGGTGGACTTACATATGGATAATCTGCGAGATCTGGACCAGGTTCATCGGAAGCAGATGCAGTGGATGATGATTGCCATCCAGAAACATAGACTGTATCCAGAAACTTTGCCATTTGAGTCAACATGGTAGGTTCCAAGCAACCATATGTATAAGAAGCATCTTTGTTCTGTTTTTCGTGATATTAGTATCCATCTGTCATCGACATCGAGATACATCAGGAATGCATACCTTGAATCTTCCCTCCAAGATCTTCCAAAGCTTTTTCGATTGTGCATTACTTGGGTATTCAATCTTTAAATTTCCCCTCTTTGCCACAATCTGCTCAGCAGTAAAAGCTCTCTTGGTATATCTCCATCTCTCATCTGCCCACCATTGCTTAACAGCAGCAACTTCTTCTAAGAAGATTCTCTCTTCTTGTTCTGGATCTACAGAAGTACCGGCCATTCTATTGGTAGAAACCATGTTGTATGTGTATATATGGATATAAGGTGTATAAAACAGGAAACAAGCCTCGTTCGTGAGTAACTTCTTTCAAGCTCCGAAGACTTGATGTTCAGTTAGAATGTAAGAAGTAAAGAATCCTATGTATCTTTAGGAATGTAGAGTATTGGACTAGTAATCAATCTTTCAAATTCCAAGATTTATAAAGTAAACAATGTCAACACAGTATCGAAGGAAAACACAGAAGCAGATAGTTCCAAGGTATATAGCTATATATTCCCCTCCTCCTAGGAACCTACCCGGCCCAAGGTCCGAACTAACTTCCTACATCGCAAGCCCATGACAAGACTCATTCACAATCGTTCGTATCCTCGGACCATCAAGGAATCCTTTGCCATCAATATACAAAGCATATGGTTGGCTGTTCGGATCAAAGGGAGAGCTTCAGGAATGCCGTGATTGGATACATTCCCGAAAACTGGGGAAAACAGAGGTACCATTTTAGTGAGCTTGGCTTTCTAGATCTGATGCGTTTTAGTGTAACATCTTGCGGTTGACTTTTTGTTATGACGAATGCGGAATCATGGATGGATGGATGGTAGTTGAGATTTGAGATGGAGAATGTGAATATACTTGCTGGTCTTTGGATGTCAATTCTGAGTCGTGTGCAGCTTTACCTACTATAGCATCACTCATCTACTTTACCATTTACCATCAATGTTCATTCATCCAAATCTCCATCTCCAATCTCACCATCAAAACATCCCTCATACGGTCAGACTGCCCAGTGCCCAGACGTAAGAATCATGTAAGACATGCTTTTGGAGAGTTACATCTCAGCTATCACTTAACATGTGTTTCCACACACGCGAAACTCGACGTTATCGTAAACATGTGAAGACTCTCGAAAATTCCAAAATAGATATGATGACCCCAGATCTCACAAGGGTTAATAGTTCTGCCGAGGGGTAGGTCGTCCAATGCGGAGGAGGGGATCAATTTTTTACAGGTCCAATAGATGCCTCGGCTTAGTTACCCCTTCATTTGTAAAGGATGATCCGGTTATCGCCTTGGTACTGTTCCGAGAAAATGATTATTTCCGATCATGCTTTTTCTAATCCGACTATAGGATGCGGTTTAGGAATTAAAGGCTAGGCATTCGGTGAGGTATTTATGTTTTCAGTCATATATCCTTCGTCCATGTAACCTTACGAGTATTGTGTCAATATTAGGAAGTGATGCGTTGAAAAGCCGAGAGAAATCAGGTCATCAATGAACGATCAATGGATATATAATGCTATCAGCAATTTTGCCGGTATATTAATTTCTACGGGGTAGCACAGGTCTGCTATTTTGCTTCTAACATACACATGTCTTCTTTAAAGTCTCGATCGCCCCAATGCAAATGCTCACTGCATATCCTCACCATCCCATTCTTTTCAATCATCAATTCCAGAACTCGAGAATATTTCTAAATGCTATCGAGGGACTCAAAGGGTATAGAGCAAAAACGCAAATGTCGTTAACGCATTAAACAGCCTGTCTTCGAATACTCAAAGGTTCATGGCCTTAGTGTATTGCTCCCAAGGAGTAAGTGTTCCTAGGGTTCGTCGCATATGTGCATTGATGATTTGAAGTCCGTAAACATAACTGGCATTAACCCATCCAAAACTAGAAATCATTAGAATTTTGCCGTTGATCAAACACATTGGTATCACTCACCCTTCTTTAGCAACTCCCTTGAAATCCGACCCTTGGTTGCCATATTCTGCATCAACCTTATGAGGATCAATCACTCTGGTCACATCGTATTTTTCAACCACTACACCATTGAAATCAACAAACGCTGTTGTGATCATGAACAACCATTTGTAAGCAAGTCGTTCGGCTTCTTCCTGATAATTGTATCGTAGTAGTCCTGTCCAAGCTAGCATTTGCTGTGGAGCCCAACCATATGGGTAATCCCATTGACGATTTGGTCGGTCTAATCCAACGGCACCACGAGACTCTTCAGTTCCAGACAGTAAACCTCCAGCAGCTTCAAACTTAGGAAGTGCGTTAGTGACGAGACTGGCAGCTTGCTGTGGCGAAGCAACACCTGCCCACATCGCCCAGAAGGTCGTAGCACTCTCATATGTGCACTGCTCTTGCTTCAGGGTGTTATAATCAAAGTACATGCCCTTCTCTTTATTCCAGAGGTATTTATCAATGGCTAACTTGCGACCTCTGGCTCTTCGATCCCACATTGAAGAAGTTTGCAGCTGACCAGGCGTCATATCGCCCACGCAAAACTCGGCTGGAACCTCAAGCTTATCTTTGAAAAATGTTCGAATGGTATATGCGATATCCTTTTCATATTTATAAAGAAGAGAATTAAGATCGATTGTTGCAAGATCTGCGCAAACCCTTTCCAAACGGTAGGATGTGTCATGACCTGACTCACGAACTGCTCGATCATGTAGGAAGTAATCGTCCAATTCCTTTTCCACAACTTTTCCATTATTGTAAGCATCAACAAATTCTTTGAAGGTCATGTTGTACTTCTTAGCATAAGGTGCCAACAAATGTTCGAAATGCGATGCTTCAGTCTCTGGAGGTACACCAAGACCTTCAGGGCGATATCTCGATAGACCTGTGACAGGGTCATATCTTGGTTCTGCCGTCCACACGCTGTGGTATTCCTTGATGGCGGCAAGAATAGCCGTCTTTAGAAAGTCCAATGATCCTGGCTCATGCTTGATCTTGTCAAAAACTCGAAGGGCCATATCTGTCAAGAAAGGTGGTTGAGAACGACATAAATAGTATGACCTAGTGGCATTGAGGATCTTTCCGTAATGTTCAATGCAAAAGCAGAAGTTTTGTACCATCGACTTGGCTAAGTGTACCTTGTCGTTGACAATTAAACCGAGTGATTCCATATAACTATCCCATCCATAAAGTTCGTTGAATCTACCACCTGGTACTACGAATGGTAAACCCTTAAGAGTTTTCTCGCCTGTTGACGGATCAACAACTTCCTCCATGGCAACAGCTAAAAGACCAGGCCTAGAGTTCATATCACGAACAACTTCTGGTGTAATTTTCTCAGGTAGCCAACAAACATCTAGACGCACTTCGGGTCTATCAGTTGCCACTTTGGTATAGTATGCATGCTGCTCAGGTGCACCCCGTGGTATGTAGATACGCGGACGGGGATCATCGGTCCAATCCTTGGGATCACGCCCAGCAATTTCAATCACCGAGCCATCGATTCTACGAGTCAGGCCATCCCAGAACGAGCCTTGTATCAATCTTGAGAGGCGGTTGACAGGATTCTCATTGAGGCGAGATTCGTCCAAGATAATTTGCTCTCTACCATTTTCTTTCGCCAAAGTCAATTCCTGTAGAAGATTTGATAGCATATAAGTCCCTCGGATATCATATCTTCTAAATCCGTTCGACGTAGCGGTTCCAAGAGGAAGTGTCTGTCCCAAAATTCGTTAGTTAAGAATCTGAGTGAATAAAATGCCTGCAATATCTTACCTTTGGCCCTACATCTTCAATTGTAATTTGGTGATTATCATCTGTGTCTTCCTGTTTTCGAAGGGCTTCCAGTGTCGAGTCAACTTGTATCAAGAATTTGCGTCCATGATCTCCAATATCATCTGCACATATGTATATTAGTCAATGAGACTTTGTGAATCAGAATATGGGCAACTGACCATGGCTGCCTCTCCTCTTGGGCTTTTCTAATCCTGAGATGGGTGTGGAGAAGGTGCTCTGGTTCTGCGAGGAGGTTAGATGAGTGTTTGAAAGGTTAAGGAGAGAAGTGCTGTGCTTACTGAAGAGTATGTACGGGTTCGGAATTGTCGAAACGATTTCTGGTTTGTATCATTGCTGTAGTAAACATGTGCCGCAGCGAATGGATCGATTTCACTGGAAACACTAGAAGTACGGTGCTTTCGCAATGGCGAGTTCATTCTATAGTCGGAAAGTTCTTTGGTGGGCGTTTGTAATTTTGCAATTCTGTAATATCTCTGGACAATTTTCGAAACGGTGACGTCTTAACAAGTTATAAATTCTGGGTACAGACAGTGGGGTGAGAGGTGGGGGGGGATGATGTTTGTAGTTTCTGGAAAAGATATACTCGTCGACCGTGATCGTAGATAGATGAGATGAAGAAGGATTGAAGAATTGTAGAATTGAATGCTGAATATGAATCTAGTAGGTTTTAAGGAGATAGAAAATGAATAGTATTACTCGTATACCGTTATAATCTCCACAAAAAAAGAGGATAAGGGTATGAATATGAGATCCGTGGTGTGTTTGGATGTTATGCTGGTGGAAAGTTCGAAAACGTTTTCAAAACGTCAGCAGAAATGTTTGATGATGATCATAGCTGACTTGCTCGCTGGCTGACTTGCTGGCTGTAAGTAGCTGACTACAAGTATCGTGGGTATGATATGATAGCTAGTTATTAGTAGATCTCTAGTAGATACCCAGGGAGCGTTATCGGTGCCGCCGCACGATCCCAATGAAAGATAACCACAACATTCAATATCTTCTGTCCAATGTCTACCAAACATCTAAACATCCTGCAATCCTTCAATCTTGCCTGCACTTTCTCTTCACCCAACCAATCTTCTTCAATCGTCAATTCTTGCTCAACCTATGAGAGTGTTTTGATGCTTCGATCTTTTAATTTGAAGATCCTCAAAATATGTTGAGTCATGTTGAAATTTGATTCATTTACAACAACTTCCAATGTTCTTCTGATCTTTTGGATCCTTTTTGATTTGTCTTTGATGTCATCCTCTTGTTTGTCTTCATTCACCGGCCTCCAAGCCGCCGAGACAGATGCAGTATGAACACAACATGATATTTATCATCTCAGATGCATTAGTGGGACGGTACTCCTATCGATTGAGCCAACCATAGCATACTGGTAATGAAAATAGTGGATCCTGTGGCGGTCACCCATCGACCATCATCGTCGACCAGCTATTATCCCATTGGATAGCCCTAGATTATAAGAGTTAAGGGGTTCATTCTTCGTGGGGGCTACGTCGTGATAGCGGCGTCCGGTTCGCTTCCGCTATTCTTGTCGTGTACCCAGGTATTCCAATGCAACACAACGTCTCAACCTCAACCAAAGCAGAGTATGAACAAAGTCAATGAGTACATTCAACATCACTACTCCTCAAATATTGGATATGTCGCTAATTCTTCGTGGTGAGAAGTTTTG